CGGGCAGTCCGTTTGGGGGAGGTGCCCACCGATAACCTAACCCCAGACATGATCGCGTCGTTAGAACATCAGGACGGTTTTTTTTGTTGCTATTTTCGGCCCCGGAGGACCCTCGCCGGGCCTCGGGACCGTCAAAAAACGACTCAGGACGAAAAACCGGTCCTCTTGAAAGGGTCTGGACTTCCAGGTTCCAGGGACGCCGTCCTGAAAAAAACAGGACGTCGCATGTCTAGGACCTTTTCGCTCTGGGCAGCCCACGTACGCCCGCGCGCGCAAAACACTGCGTCCCCACTGCGGACCTGCGCAGCCCACAAGGTCCGGTGATCCTGGAGGGGGGCGTGCGGGCTCGATGACCCAGGTTATCGCTGGACCCGGTCTCAGAAAATCACGACCGGAGCCCAGGCCCCATCTTTCTGCAGCGTTGGTCGGGTCAGATCGATCTGTGATGGCCCCGGGGCCCGAAGCCGGACGAAGAAGTGGCGACATCCGAACCCTTCCCCCGCCAACCCTCGATGCTCCTGAATCGATGGGAGGCGGGGGGGGTAGGGTCCAGGTTTCACCACGTGTTCGGCGAATTCCGAACCCTACCCCCGCCGCCCATCGGGTTGCCTGAGTCGTGGATCGGCGAGGGTGGGCTTCGGATTTCGCCGCCGAGCAAAAACACTTGTCCGTTAGCAGCGAGGCGGGGCAATCTGCACCAGCGTGGCAGCGATGCAGGGGCACTACAAAGCCAAGCGCAGGAGGCCCAGTCATGCGACGTCCTGATTTTTTCAGGACGGCGCCCCTTGAAGTCCTGACCCTTTCCCCGGGACCCTTTGTGTTGTTCGTCCTGAGTCGTTGTTTGACAGTCCCGAGGCCCGGCGAGGACCCACCATGGCCGAAAAATAGCCAAAAACTTCCCGTCCTGATTTTTCAACGACGCGATCCTGTCTGGGGAGGGAAAACCGCCGAGCAACAACACCCAGCGTGCGAAACAAATGCAGCGCCCAGCTCAAGGGGGAGCTGACCGGGCGCGCGGAGGCACGCGCGCCCCCGCGGGGCGCCTGCGACGCGAGGGCCACGTCGATCGAGGCGTTGCCTGGCGAGAGGAGGAGGAGGAGGAGAAGGAGGAGGAGGAGGAGGAGCAGGAGGAGCAAGAGGAGGAGGAATGCGGCGGGGAGGGGGAGGGGCGTCTCGAAAAATCGGCTACACGCAAAGAGTGGCACAGGGTGAGAGTGACCTTTGGTGCGCGGCTTTTGGGGGGTCGCGGGGATGCCAGACACAAGTGCGCAAGACGCTACTATCGCATCGCGTTCGGCGATCGGGGGACCTCCAAGGGCCCGCACCAAAGGTCACTCCAGCGAAGGGTCACCCTTACGCGCATAGCCGAAAAAAACGAGACGCAAGTTGTTCATCTTTCCCGGCCTCTCGGGGCCCTTCCTGGGCCTCGGGGCCGTCACAACACGACCCGGGATGGAAAACTCGATCCCTGGGAAATGGCCGGGAGGTCGAGGGCTCGTTAGGGGAACAAAAAAAGGCGTAAGCAGAAACTTTCAAAGGTCCGCGCGGAGTATTTAAACCCGCGCCAAACCTCTCTCCCGCCAGCGGGGCCCAGCGCAGATCCGAGAAATCCGCGCGCAGCGCCAAAGAACATATATGTGAATAGCGTTGTTTCTTCTTCTTCTTCTTCTTCGAGGCCGAGAGGTCGAGGGCTCGCGTCTCGAAAAGCTCGAGGCGCCAGGTGTCTGGGTGGAGCGTGGCGCGCCAGAAGTTAATTGATGGGCCTGTTTTCCACCACCACCACCACCATAAGTTGGAGGGGGAGGGGTCCTCCCCCTTCTCCTTCTCCTCCTCCTCCACCTCCTCCTCCTCCTCCTCCTCCTCTTCGTCATCCTTCTCCTCCTCGTCCTCCTCCTCCTCCACCCCTCCGAGGGGTCGATGGTTTCGGCGTTGCTTCTTCTTCGAGGTCGAGATGTCGAGGGCGCGCGTCTCGAAAAGTTCGGGGCGCCAGGTGTCTGGGCGGAGCGCGGCCGGGCTCGCGCCCCGCGCCGCAGCAGAGGCCGCGAGCCGCCCTGCGGGCCAGCCATCGAGCAGGGGATCGACTACCGGACTGATTTACCCCTAAATGAGCTTTCTCGTCGAATGTACGGAAAATGCTCATTATGCTCACTGGATGTGCGAACATTTGATGCACTCGCCGTAGATTCGATGGGGGAAATGGCTTCTGGGTCCAATCCATTCTGTAGTCGGTCCCCTTCTTGGCCTTCTTGTGGGCCTCCACTGAGGCCTCTCGTCGTCACGGCCAGATTCCCAGCGAGAGATCCTGGCCTGGACGCGCCCCAGGAAGGGTCTCCGGGGACGAGTTGTGACCCCATGGGCACCGCACTGTGAATGCAACGCATGTGTTCACTTGCTGTTTCGGTTTCCCTGCCTTCCTCCTCCTCCTCCCCCTCCTCCCCCTCCTCCAGGCGCCACGTTTGTGAACATTTGAATCCAGACTTTTCCTGCCCACGCGCCGGACGGCGTATGGCTTCGCCAAAAAAGCACCCTCGCGCAGCTACCGAAAAGTCCTGGCACATGGAGGGCAGGGCCCTCCTCCTCCACCAGGGCTGTCAAAAGTCCGCCCAGGGTGAAAATCTGGGGCTGACGCTGTGCAAAATCACTGCCCTGACTTCGGATCTGCCGTGCGTTGAGCGATTTCGTAAGCACGGCCGGGGCATTGGACAAGGAACCATTGGATGAGGAATACATAGTCTCGAAGCCGGTGGAACTCCAATCATGAATTGGCCATGGATACCACTGCCGCCTTCATCAGATAAGGAACCCTCCAGGGTCTGAAGCCTCCTGGGCTTCCTCAACCAACGCCCTCACCGTAGAGCAGAAATTTCCGCCCTACGTGTCAAGATCCTGTGATGCAGATTACCACCCTACTCCAGAATCAATCAGCATCGAATCATAACGCCGGATCGATTCGGATTGTGCGTCGAATCGGGCCGCATCGGCACGGAGTCGAAATCGAATCGGATCGGCTGCACCAGTATGCACAACAACGCCATGTAACCGTCAGGTCGCATCGGATCGGGCCGGCCGAAATCGACATCGAATCGGATTAATCGGATCGAAATGGACCCTGTACTTTGCCGTCGCTGCTGGCGTCATACTCTGCGAAAACATCTGCCTCACCTTCTGAGGCGGACATGACCACCCCACTTGTTCGCACCGTTTGGGGTGCCTTTCCGACACGCTTCTGCAGCGGAAGATCGCCCAAAGCGCGGCGAATCCGAAGTCAGGCTTAGGTCGGGCCTGTCCCCCTACAGGGGGATTTTCGACGAAAAATGAATCCAAAAATCGTTCCCTATTTTTTAGTTATTTTTGACCTTGTAGAGGGACAGGCCCGACTTAAAGTCAGGAGGGGTCGAAGCCCCCAGTGGAGCGCACCCTGCATCCGCTCCAGAGCGCGCGACGGGGTCGCTACCTCGCCCCCTCCCCGCCGGACGGGGCTCACCGCCCCGCCGCGTCAACGCCACGCGCCGGGAGGGGGGCGGGGCCTCGGAGGGAGGAGGAGGAGGAGGAGGAGGAGGAGGAGGAGGAGGACGACGACGGGGAGGAAAAGGAGGAGGAGGAGAAAGAGGAAGAGGAAGAGGAGGGAGGAGGAGGAGGAGGAGGAGGAGGAGGAGAGGAGGAGGAGGAGGAGGAGGAGGAGGAAGGGAACGAAGGAGAAGGTGGAGGATGTAGAGCGCCTTCTGTCGCGCGGTGGTCGCCTGCGACGGGCGTCAGCCCAGACCTCCAAGGTTGTGGAACAAAACCAAGGCTCGGGGTAGGCCAGGAGGGGGGGGCGTCCAAGAGCGGGGGGGGGAGGCGCAGTTCATGGCCGGCGGCACGTGCGCGGCCCAGGGGGGCGCCAGGGACGCATTCAAATGAGAAGAGGCGCCGTGAAATCTGGGGAGATGTCATGGCCTCCGCCATGACATCCACGCCCCGCCTAGTCACCACCCCCTCTCGGCCGCCCCGGAAGGACGTAGGCCTCTCGTAGTTCTCGGCGTCTCACGGGCCCCCGCCAGGCCCCCGGGGGAATCGTCAGCAAAAAAAATAGATCGGGTGCGGAAGAAAGTGTAGATCGGGGGCAAAAAAACGGCCCAGAGCTCTGGAGGGCGGGAGTGGTGGTGACTTCGGGTAAAAAGGAGGACGGCGAGGGCGAGGGCGGGGGCGAGAAGAGCGACGAGGGCGCTTCTTCTAATTAGAATGCTGCTGTTGTGATTGGTATTGCCACAGTCAGAGTGAGGGGGGCCGAACGGTCATTCACTCTCCCTGGGCGCGTGGCTGAAGTGGGGTTCCGCGGTGCGGAACAATGTTGTTGCGTTGTCATTATTGTTATCGTCGTCCTCGCCCGCGATCCACGCCGCGACCCACACCGCGACCCACACGCGACCCACCCGAGACCCACCCCACGCCTGCCCCCCCACTCCTATCTGAAAGTGAGGGGTGCTACGTATTGTGATTATTGAATCGCTTCGCTCATTCCGCCGGCCCGTGATATGGCATCGCTGGTTTTTGTCTGTGTGTTCGTTGCCCATGTTGCGCTCTTGGGGGCGGGTGTCGTTCGGACGCGTTGCGTGGGGAGTTTTGATGGTGAAGCAGTTCCCTGGGGGTCGTCTCTCGATGGGGCGAAATAGAGTCGTCGTCAAGATGCTTCTTTGGGGGGCCTCTTGGGGTCTGTTGAGAGGCCGTTCGGGGGCGCCTGGGAGACATGTTTGAAGCCTTCTGGGGCTTCTTTTGGGCCTCCTGGGAGTCTCCTGGGGCCTCTTGGCGACATCTTGGGGCCTCTTGGAGGCCTCTTGGGGCCTCTTTGGGACCTCCTGGGCGCCTTCTGGGACGGAGGGCTCCATTTTTGAGTTCTCGGTATCCCTCCTGAGTCCCTCTTGGGCCCGTCTTGGGGCCTCTTGGTCCGTCTTGGGCGGCACTTGGGCCGTCTTGAGGGCTCTCTTGGGTCGTTTCGGCGCCGTCTTGGGAGCTTCGTGGGCCGTCTTGGAGCGGTCTTGGGGGCCTCTTGGGCCGTCTTGGAGCGTCCGGAAGCCGAAAAAGCCAGAACACAAAAAACATCGAAAAAACAATGAAAATCAACGATTTTGGCCTCTTGGGGCTCTCTTCGGAGGCCTCTTGGAAGGCTCTTGGGGCGTCTTGGAGGCCTCTTGGGCTGTCTTGGGGGCCTTTTGGGCCGTCTTGGGGTCATCTTCGGCGTCTTCGAGCGCTCTTTGGGCGTCTCGGGGGCCTCTTGGGCAGTCTTGGGGGCCTCTTGGGGCACTCTGAGCGCGCTCTGGGGAGCCTGAGAGGCCGCACCCAGAAGGAAAACCATCTCTGAGTAGACTTGGTCGGGCGGCGGTCGGGCGGCGGTCGGGCGGCGACCGGGCGTTGGTCGGGGTACTTTTCGCCGGGGGACCCCCAGGGGCCGCCCCGCGCGCGCGAACTAGAAATACTGTTAATACTGTTAATCAGTTACCGGAGATCTTAGCACGCCCTGGCCCGTTGGGCCGGCGAATTGTCACTATTACTGCGCCAGTTATATGTTTCTTCGCTGGCTGATATACACCAGCCTCGGCTGGCCGTCGACTGCATCCGAAGCGAACGTCGAGGCAGAGCCTTGGGTGACTCGAAACACAGCTCGCCGCGGCAGCTGCCCGACCGCGAGTGCCGCGGACAGGCCTCCCACAACGTTGGGCCGCTGCGCGTGTGGGATGCGGGCCCCGGAGCCGGAGGTCTGGACGACCGGGACCCTGACACCCGCCGATCCGATCATGTCAGTCCGTGGCCCCAGGAAGTCCCGCCCGCTCCCCCGAGGGTGGCTTTTCGCCCCAGGTCCACTCGGGGGCGGCAAAGAGGGGGGCGTCAAAAAGGGGGGGGCCGCAAATCATGGCCGGCGGCATGTGCGCGGCCCAGGTTGGGGGCCAGGGACGTATTGAAGTAAGAAGAGGCGCCATGAAATCTGGAGAGATATCATGGCCCACGCCATGATATCCACCCCCACCTAGTCATCACCCCCCTCTTTGTCGTCATGGTCCCCGGGGCCCAGAAACGGCCCCCGAGGGCCGAGAGATCGGAGAAAAGGCGCCAGACCGAACAGATCACATCGTCGGAGATCCCGGGAGGACGGCGACGAGAGCGAGGACGGACACCTCGCGGAACGCGGGCCCACCCCCGCCGAGGGAGGGTTTTTGCGCTCGGAGCTCTTCGCGCCTCGCTACGCTGCGGTCCTCTTTCTCCCACCCGCCCACATTGCACCGTACAATGAGGGCATTGGAAAAGAAGGCATCTGATGAGGACCCCGGGGTCTGGAAGCCGTTGGAACACAAATGGAAGCTTGGCCATGGATACCACCGCCGCCTTCATGAGATGAGGAATCCCCCAGGGTCTGAAGCCTCCTGGGCACATTCCTTAACCAACGCCCCCACTGTGCACCTTACGATGAGGGCACCTTACGGGCAGGGCATTGGACAAGAAAGCACTGGATGAGGAACCCAGGGCCTGGAAGGCGGTGGAACACAAATGGAAGCTTGGCCATGGACATCACCAACGCCCTCATGAGATGAGGAGCACCCCAACGAGGAGCCCCCTGCCCCTCCATCGCTGGGAGCCCACAGCGGATGTACGCGCCCAACCACGCACATGAGCACGGCCCCCCACTCCGCGAGACCCGGCCTCATGTTATGAATGGTCGCGCCATGCGTACCCTCGAAACCAGCGTGGATTCCTGTACGCGCACGTCCCTCGTTCGCTCCTGGCCCAGGAGGAGGAGGAGGAGGAGGAGGAGGAGGAGGAGGAGGAGGAGGAGGAGGAGGAGGAGGAGAGGAGGAGGAGGAGGAGGAGGAGGAGGAGGAGGAGGGGGAGGCAGGGAGCGGGCAGGAGAGGCGCTCGTCGGATGGGGCACGCCTGCGGGCCCGCCCCCCTCGCCCCTGCCTCGTGGCGGGGAGCGGGAGGCTCGCTCGCGCCCCGTCTGCGCATGGCCAGCCCTCGGGTCGCTCGCAGCAGCCGCGGCCGCAGGGTGCTCCCGTCGGCGTCGAGCACGGGGGAGGGGCCCTCACCCGAGCAGCCGGCGTGGGAGCTCCCCGACGAAGGCAGCAGCGATCGGGCTTGCCAGCCAGAGGAGGGCGGGGGCCACGCACACGCAGCAGGAGGGTATACGGGCTGCCTGGTGGCCTGAGCGGCGAGACGCGCAAAGAAAGGCAGGCGAGGGCAGAGGATCTCTGAGGGCCAGAAGAGCCGCAGGATCTCTCTGGCGCCGCGGCCCTTGCAGGGTCAGCAAAAGAAGCTTCGAGCCTAAACATGCACCTCGGAGGACCACGCTGATGCCTGGGATCGGCACTGGACACCCCACTCTGGCGCGCGGAGAGCGCCAGGGGCGGCGCAGGAGGCGCTGCCAGAAAGGTCCAGCGCCGATCCTACGCGGACCTCCGAGGTTGACGTTCATGGCGATGCTTGCTCTTCTTCGAAGGGCCCTCTGGAATCAGCTGGCAAGGCCATGTCGCGCAGCCGACCATGAATCCCCTGTGTCCCACCAGCCGTCGGCGGTCCCTGGCGGTCTTCGCCACGAGAGCCTGGGCGGCCGCGCTCCGCACGGGGCCCACGGATCGGACGTCCAGACTATCTCAGGATCTGGAACGACCGTACCCCGAGGCTGCACGACGGAGCCATCTCCAGCACAGCACATGCCAGGTTCGCGCACCACGCGCGAAGGCTGCCGCAGGCCTCCGCCAGGAGCGCCCCCCCCAAAAAACAACCCTCTGACCCCGAACCTCGAACCCGGATCCTGGATCCTCGATCCTCGGTCCTGGAAAACCTCGGTCGTCGATCCCCGATCCCCGAACCTCTGGAGGGCCTCCAAAGGCCTCCGAGGGCCCCCACACGGCCCCCGACGTCCGCCGCTGCCATGTTTCCCTCCGCGGCCCAGGGAGTGGCCCCGACCGCGTCCCTGGGCGCAGGGCCCTCGTGACAGACGCGTCTGATCTCCCTGGGCGCAGTCTTAGGTCGGGCCTGTCCCCCCTACAGGGGGATTTTGAACGAAAAATTCGCCGGCCCAACGGGCCAGGGCGTGCTAAGATCTCCGGTAACTGGTTAACAGTATTAACAGTATTTCTAGTTCGCGCGCGCGGGGCGGCCCCTGGGGGTCCCCCGGCGAAAAATACCCCGACCAACGCCCGGTCGCCGCCCGGTCGCCGCCCGACCGCCGCCCGACCGCCGCCCGACCAAGTCTACTCAGAGATGGTTTTCCTTCTGGATGCGGCCTCTCAGGCTCCCCAGAGCGCGCTCAGAGTGCCCCAAGAGGCCCCCAAGACTGCCCAAGAGGCACCCGAGACGCCCAAAGAGCGCTCGAAGACGCCGAAGATGACCCCAAGACGGCCCAAAAGGCCCCCAAGACAGCCCAAGAGGCCTCCAAGACGCCCCAAGAGCCTTCCAAGAGGCCTCCGAAGAGAGCCCCAAGAGGCCAAAATCGTTGATTTTCATTGTTTTTTCTATGTTTTTTGTGTTCTGGCTTTTTCGGCTTCCGGACGCTCCAAGACGGCCCAAGAGGCCCCCAAGACCGCTCCAAGACGGCCCACGAAGCTCCCAAGACGGCGCCGAAACGACCCAAGAGAGCCCTCAAGACGGCCCAAGTGCCGCCCAAGACGGACCAAGAGGCCCCAAGACGGGCCCAAGAGGGACTCAGGAGGGATACCGAGAACTCAAAAATGGAGCCCTCCGTCCCAGAAGGCGCCCAGGAGGTCCCAAAGAGGCCCCAAGAGGCCTCCAAGAGGCCCCAAGATGTCGCCAAGAGGCCCCAGGAGACTCCCAGGAGGCCCAAAAGAAGCCCCAGAAGGCTTCAAACATGTCTCCCAGGCGCCCCCGAACGGCCTCTCAACAGACCCCAAGAGGCCCCCCAAAGAAGCATCTTGACGACGACTCTATTTCGCCCCATCGAGAGACGACCCCCAGGGAACTGCTTCACCATCAAAACTCCCCACGCAACGCGTCCGAACGACACCCGCCCCCAAGAGCGCAACATGGGCAACGAACACACAGACAAAAACCAGCGATGCCATATCACGGGCCGGCGGAATGAGCGAAGCGATTCAATAAAACATACCCCAAAAATGCCCAAAAATGCCCAAAAATAAAACATACCATAAATATTCAAAAATGGTCAAAAAATAGTCCCCAGGCTATTTTTTGACTATTCTTGAATGTTCCTCCTGTAGAGGGACAGGCCCGACTTAACCCTGGGTGCAGTCGTCCAGGAATACGGCGTCGTCGGCGGCGCGCAACGAGAGCCCCGCGGGCGGCCGCGCCCCGAGGAGGCCGGCGCGAGGCACCCGAGGAGGCCTTCTGCAGAGCTCTCTGGAGAGTGCTCGGCAGCTCTCGGAGGCCTCCGGGGAGGCCCCTCAGTCGGGGGCCCCCAAACGGTGCGTTAACCACACCGTGCGGTGAGTCGGTGGGGATTTGGGGTCACCGCACAGTTTTGGGACTCAGGTCGTTCTCCGAGGACGTCTCGGGCGACAGGGGCCTCCGGGGTCCCAAGACTGTGCGGTGACGGACCGAGCGGTGAGGTCTTGGGGGATTTCGAGGTCACCGCACGGTCTGTCACCGCACCGCTTCGGGACTCCCAACTCAAGAGGATCGATCTTCCGCCCCGGAAGGCTTTTTCAGATCGGGCCAGGGCCCGGCAACGGCCCGGGAGGGCCGAAGCTCAGGAGAAAGCCGCACTGGTGGCGTAAAAACATGTGGCCGATTCCGGGAACACGGATCCCAAAAGCGTTTTCATTTCTGGGGGGGCGCATCCTTTACTTCCGCCGCCTTCCGCCACCCTCCCGCCAGCTTCCGCCGGCGGAGGCGGCCTCGTGTTGCTTCCGCCAACCTTCCGCCGCCCTTCCGCCGCGGAAGAGATGACAACTCCTTCGATCCTCGAAGGCGAGGCCCTTTCTGGAATGCCCAAGGTACAGGCCTCGGAACAAAAATAGCGAACACTCCTACCACATTCACCTGTCAACGCCTCCCCCTCCCCCCCCCCAGTGCTCAAAGTCGGCGGTGGGTCTGATGAGTCGCACCTCGACCACAGTCACCCCCGCGCGTGCCAACTTTGAGTCTGGGGGGGAGGGGGAGTGTTCCGTAATTGTTCCCAGACATGCAACGTCCTGATTTTTTCAGGACGGCACCCCTTGAAGTCCTGACCCTTACCCCGGGACCGGTTGTTCGTCCTGAGTCGTTTTTTGACGGTCCCGAGGCCCGGCGAGGGCCTCCCGGGGCCGCAAATAGCCCCAAAAACCTCCCGTCCTGATTTTGTAACGGCGCGATCATGTCTGGGTAACTGCTTCCATCTACCGTATCCTGGGAGACCGGGGCCCCCCAGGGGGCCCGAGAGAGGGCCTTCGGAGGGGGCCCCCTGTTGGGGGCAGCTGCGCGGCGCGCGCGCGGAACCCGCGCGACGAGCGGCCCCCTGCGCTGGCCTCGCACGGCGCCGGCGACGACGCGGGAGATGGCCGCGCTGGCCAGGGCCACCGACTCGGGCGCGGGGTCCTCGAGGCAGCACACAGTCATGAAGGGGCCCAGGGACACACGAATCAAATAACAGGATTCCCAACAGTTTCCTATGTTTTCTTGGTTTTCGTCTTCCCCCCCCACTTCCCATATTTTCCCGTAATTTCTTGGGAATCGACGATTAATTGTGTCTGTGTGTTTTTCCCCTCCTGAAGTCAACCCGCAAAACAAGGGCCACGATGAAGATGCCAGGGCCCTGGAAGCCCAAGCCGAAGCTTTTCGAGCGGGGCGCGGCCAACGGAAGTGGCCGAGGATGGACCGACGAGGCAAGGGTGCACGGGCAATTACCCTTGGGGAGGTTGCCCATCCCCACTATGCTGGTTGACTGTATCAGCTTTCGGAGGTCCGGGGATTTCTCGATTGGAGGGCAAATTTTGACAGGTTCTCGCAGGAACGAATGAGGGCTAGATCAGGCCCGATCGAGGGTCCACTACACCGGATCAGGCCGGATCCAGCCCAGGACTGAGCCCGATCCAGCCGAACTTCGGATCTGGATTTGGCCCGTTTCCATCATGGATATGCCAAAGCCGATGCTGAATCTAACCTCCCAGGAGCTGCATCCTCGGAGATCCGCGCGGATATCTCAGATCGGCACTGGAACCCCCTGTCGGCGCCTCCGGCGCCGCCCCCGGCGCAACCCTCCGAATGTCTTACTACATGTGCCGTTGTTCTTCTCCAGGGTCCAGGAGCCCGACGCTGACGTTCAGGGTCTCCAGGAGGGACGAGGAGAACGCTGGGTCGCCGCTGGAGCTCGCCTCGTCGGGGCGGGGGGCGGGGCGTCGTCGTCGTCGTCGTCGTCGTCGTCGTCGTCGTCGGGGTGCTTATGGAGGTCTCGTCGCCATGGCTGGGCGCTGTTCGAAAAACAAGCCAGGGTGGATCCCGAGAAAAGTCCGGAGACTTGACCGTCGTCATGGGAGGCAGAGCTCCAGCGAGGCTTAGGAAGAGTGGCCTGTGGAGACATGCGGCGGAGCTAGACCTCCTTTCGTCGTGGCCGTTTTCGGCCTGACGCGGCCCGCACCCAGTCCCAACACTGTCAAAAAACTAGGAAAAGACGGCCCCGGGAAAAGTGTCTGAACCTCTGTATGTCCACGGTGGTGAAAAATCATGACGTCGGAAATCTGGGGAGCTCCGGCAAGGACAACGAATAGTGGCCTACGGAGAGATGGTTAGATAGCCCACTCAGAAGGGAGCAGGCCCACCCACCCAGGCACAGCAGAAGCACATGTTTGCCAGGCGTTGCACGCACGCACACACAAAGCTTCTCCGTCGGCGGCGAGGCAGAACTGCTGCACCAGCGGTCGGGGGAGGATGGAGGGAGAGGGAGGAGACAGAGGAGGGATAGGGAGAAGAAGGACGGCAAGGAGAAGCAAGGGACGAGGATTTGTTTGACACCAACGGCCGAATACCCCTAAGCAGGATCGGGAAAATTGGTGAGGAAACCCAGGTAGATCGCCACTACGACCAGGACAAATACAGAGGTAATCAACCAGCCATCGTCCCCAAGGCCACGAAGCTAGAACCCGAAAACACCATCGTGGAGGCCAGCGGCTCCATAATTAGCCTGCGATGTGGCAGGAAGCCAGGCTTGATCATCCAGAAAGCCACATACAAAACATACCTCACCAGCACGCTCCATACCTACGGGGCAACATGCTTGAGCCTCCGAAGCCCAACACCGCGAACAAGACCAACTCTGCTGAATACCAGCAGCACGCCGACGTCCAGCGAAAAGAAAGCCCTTGCCAGGGTCGAGCGGACACCGCGGCCCCCGAAGAAGAAAAATCATATGGACAGGAGCAGCACAAGTTGCGGCCTCGACTCCGCCAGCTTGACAAGCGGCATCAACCTCAGCATCAGCGATACCAAGAACGAGAGAGTGGTCGATGCGTTTTCCAGGACGGGTATGTCACCAAACGCTCGCCATGGACCGCCTGGAGCTCCACCACCTGGCACTTGCGCAGCTGGAACTCCCAGGCGTTGGCGGCGCGCACAAGGGGGTAGGGGCAGGGGGGAAGGCCTCTCAGAAGGCGGCTGGCTCTTAGAAGGCGCGGGCCTTCCATCTGTACAGTAGACAAGGCCCGCGCCTTCCAAAAAGGAAGGGTTGCTTCTAAGAAGCCTGCCTCCTCCCCCCTACCCCCCCTCTGCCTGCGCGTGTCCGATTTGTGTTTTGGATGCCATGACGATGGACACTCGAACAATCCTAGCATTGAATTAAAAACGTGATTTAACATGTGTAAAACATGTTCTAACAATGTATCTACCATGTTTTTACAACCTGTTTGGGACATCTTTTTAGACATGTGGAAACTATTTGGCAGCATGCTTCCTCTCCATTGGTCGTCCTCCACAAGATTTATGCAGCTGGAACTCCCAGGCGCTTCCACACCCGCCCTCTCAGGGACATCCACCACGGGGCGGGCGGGGGGCGGCACGCCGCCAAGGAAAAGCCAACCCGCCGCCGCGGAGGCGGCGCCACCAGCAGCCTCCTGCAGAGGACGCTCGAGATGACCACCGCGGTGCCCAGGCGCCTCGGCGGAAATGCGACCCTCGTGCCTTGGCGGCGGCGCACAGAACTTGCCGTCGCTCGGACATCCATGTCCTGTGCATGTTTCGGTTTCGTGCGTGTTTTTGTTGCTCGATGGTCCCGGATGGTCCTCGATGGTTCTCGCCGAAAAAATGCACACTTCCGAGCGATGCCAAGACAAAGGGGGATGGGGGGAAGCACCCCTGCTGCTTCGAAGGCGCGGGTCTTGCGTCTGCACGCAAGGCCCGCGTCTCCGAAGAAGCAGGCTTCCTTCTGAGAAGACCCCCCCTCCCCCTACCCCCCCTCTCTGGGTGGCCGAGTGCCACGCGCAGCTCCAGCGAACTTTGGCTCGTCCACGGTGTTGCGCTTCTCGGCCTGCGGCCTCACGGGGATCGTCGTCTCGGGGAGGGCCAGCGGCACGACGAGAACAACACGCAGCCGCAGGTGCAACTGCTCCCGACATCGTAGGCGACGGGGCTGGGCGACAGGGCTCGGGACGAACTCGACCGCGTCGGCGCGCAAGCTGGAGACCTGGGCAGCAGCGCAGCATCGCCTCCAGCCTAGCCCCGTGCTGCGCACGACGAAGCTGGGCAGCCGAAGCGCGTTCGCGTCGAGGTCCTCCGCCTCGAAATGCAGCGCGACAGTACTGCGGAGCACGTCGAGCCACTCTGGCTGCACCCCGGATGACGAAGGCCAGGATTGCAGAAAGCACCGCCCGAAGCCGCGACCCCACGCCACATCCGAGCTCCCCACGGCAAGCGACAGCACAGTGCCTCTTCGGCCAGCTGCAGCTGCGCGGCGAGCTGGCCCACCTCGCCAGAAGTACACTGCAAGAGACGATCCGCAGACACGCGTGCCCGAGACCTCCGCTCCGCGAGGCACGTGACGAAAATCGGGCGCCACCTGCAGGGGCACCTCCCGCAGCCACCTCCGCGCCAAAGAACTTCTGGCTGCCACCACCGCAAAGCATGTCGATCGAGCTTGGGCAATAGGGCGTTCATCCGCTGGTGGATGGCATGAGACGATATGGCTACATAGGAAGGAGGAGGAGGAGGAGGAGGAGGAGGAGGAGGAGGAGGAGGAGGAGGAGGAGGAGGGAAAGGAGGAGGAGGAGGAGGAGAAATAAGAGGAGGAGGAGGAGGAGGAGCAAGAGAAGGTTGTGTGAATGGATGAGTGGGCGAGAGGCAGAGGGAGAGGGGGAGAGCGAGAAGGAGGGAGAGGGAGAAGGAAATGGAGAGGGAGAGGGAGGGAGAAAGGGAGAGAGAGAGAGAGAGAGAGAGAGAGAGTGAGAGAGAGAGAGAGAGAGACATCGACTCCCCCGAGAGCCGGGAGCGCAGCGAACAAAGCGGGAGCCCGCAGCGCTCCTGGCGCGCGGCCGCGGCGGGACACACGAGCGCAGCATGCAGCAGGCGGCCACAGAGCAGGGCGCTGCTCGGCGAGCTTTCGCGTGGGGTGCAGACCGCTTGCGGACCCTATGAGGGGGAGGAGGAGGAGGAGGAGGAGGAGGAGGAGGAGGAGGAGGAGGAGGAGGAGGAGGAGGAGGAGGAGGAGGAGGAGGAGGAGGAGGAGGAGGTCGCCTAAGCTCTTCGGAGAAACCCTCCACCCTACCCCTACCGCCCACGACCTCTGAGCGGGAGGGGGGGGTCACTTCGTTCGGGAGCTCTCGAGCGAAGTGACCCCCCTCTCCCCCTCAGAAATCGTAGGGGGGCAGGAGCATTAGGGTTCGCACGCGGCCTCCTACTCTTAAGTCGGGCGTGTCCCCCTACAGGGGGATTTTGAGCGAAACATAAATTAAAAAGATGTTCAAACAATACCCCCAAATGCCCAAAAGTAGTCAAAAAAATCGTCCCCTGACGATTGTTTGACGATTTTTGAATATCCCCCCTGTGGAGGGACACGCCCGACTTGATCCTACTCATAGGAGGGTTCGCATGTGGTCTCCGAACTAATCACATGACAGGGCACCGCCGTGGAGAGGAGCGCCTCCCTGGGCAGGCTGGCCCCACCCAACGGGGGGGGGGAACCTCACGAGGCAGATACAAGCGCCAGCGCCCGGGGGAAAGCCGAGACCTGCCTATGTCTATGTTTATGTATTTATCTCTATATATCTACATATATCTAGATATATTTATGTATAGAGAGATATGGCTATAGATATATATATATATATATATAGATATATATATATATATATATACATATATATATATATATATATATATGTACCGCGCAACGACGACGCGAGTGCTTGGTTCCTCACTTCTCTGTCGGCGGCGAGGCGGGGCAATCTGACTACCTACCAGACCACCCCAACCCAACCCGAAGGCCCGAATTCGACCCGAATTTCGGGCTGGGGGGGGTACGGGTTCCATTTGTTTGTTCGATTCTCCCCGACCCCCCCCCACTGGAAATGGAGGGCAAATTGGGGCCTTCGGGTTGGGTTGGGGTGGTTTGGTGGGTGGTGACAATCTGCTCTCCCTGCGTGGCACCTCGCGAGCACTCGAAGTGGGCCTGCCCCCCCACACGGAAGGGGCGGAAGGACACAGCCGGGCGCCAGCGACCGTGCCAGAGGGCACGGCTGGCCCCAGCTCCCGGCACCACCAGGCCGGCCGTACCCAAAGGATTAAGTCGGGCATATCCCCCTACAGGGGGATTTTGGACGGAAAATAAAAAATACCCCAAAACTACTCCAAAATTGTCAGAAATAGTTGTTGTGTTACAAATCCTCAAGTAATATTTGTACTATTTTGAAGTTCCTCCTGTAGAGGGACAGATCCGGCTTAACCAAAGGAACCACCCGCTGACGCTAAATCGGCGCTCCCATCGACTCCCAGCTGCTGATCGATGCGAATCGACGCTAAAGACGGAATCTGGAGGGTATACCAGGCTCTCTCGAGTGCTGGCCGCTCAGTTGCCCAATATAGAATTCTGTATGCGAGGGGTTTGGTTTTCACGCTGGGTTCGTTTCACACTGTATTCGCTTCCGTCCCCATGAATGGGGCGAGCGGTTCTTCGAGCCGCCCGGCCAGACTTGCTTGCTTACCAGGCCCTCCTGATCTGCTGCCGAAGGAGAATCGGGCCGGGCGAAAGGGGGGGATAGCAAAGGGGGGGGGAGAATCAACTTACGTAGCTGATTTCCCGGCGCCTCCCAGCACTGGAGGCGGCTATGTATCGAGGAATGGGCCCCTCGGTGGGGCCGAAACCAGCTGCGTGCAGCAGATTTCGTAACCC